GAAGTGTTCCCTACCACCACCTCACCTCCTTAACTTCTTATTTTTCCAAGAAGAACAGTGAAATCATCAAGATATTTTTCTGAAGAATTAAAAAGATAATGAAAGCAAGACTAATCACTATCCGTTTAATTTTGTTCTTATGTTGTTAAAGGATTTATCAAAAAAACTTTCCATCAGATATTTGTGTGGGAAGTCAAAATAGGAAAAAATATACCGTAAACAATTATCCTATAGATTTAAAACTCCATATTGCACATGTGATCATAAAGTAAAACAGTCTAGTTTGGGGTGGAACATTAAAAATCTCCTAACATAAAATCAGAAAAACAATTAGAATTTTTTACATAACATTCTTAATGTCAAACAACAATGAATCACTATGATTAGTGAAAAGATCATCTAAGACAAAACACACACATCATCAGATTGAAACTTCAATAATACAAACCCACTGAAGTGGGAAACTGAAGTTGACTATGACACCAAGTACCCAGACACAGACCTAAATCCCATAATTCACAGAGATTCAAAGGATAGCTTTTGCTCCTTTACAGCCTGTGTCTACCTACAAACACTCATAGCAAGCAATGTTTGCACATTACTAAACCAATTATTAATACAAGTTCTGTACGCAAAAATAAAAAAAAAAAATCCCATTCTTCTATTATTTTCTCAGATATTGTAGAAAGAAAAACACAAGCCTCCAAAATTAATCTATAATCATCTACAGGTTATGGCTCATAATAACAGAACACTGTACCTGCCTCAGGCACACAGTAACTGCCATGTTTTACAGAACACAAACTCTCAAATACAGACTTCTTTTACTATGCCTGCTATCCGCAAGAAAATCTTAAATTCTTCAAATATGCCATTCAACGTTTTAAAATTCAACATAAATTCTAAATGCTGCTCTAATTCTGATAACCTCTCTTTTAGCTAAGCTGGTTGCTTGGTAGTGATTTGTCAGATAAGTTACACAATACTGTTTCTGTTTCCTGATTAGATAAGCAGATAAGTTCTGGGGTTTCTTTTCTGGCACAAACATTTATGTATACAATTTCTCATTTTCTGTGAACACTTGGAACTTTGTTATCCCCTCTCTATAAATCCACATGCAGTGAAAGTCAACCATGGACAGAATGCATTTGCCATAAGAAAACTCAGAGTAAGAGTCAGCATGCAAAAAGCAATTCCGCCTAGAAAACTGAACAAATGTTCAGGAAACTTCTCTCCCTATATGCTGCCTACATACACACTGCAGAATAAAGGAAAGCAGTGAGCAATACTTCTGTGTCTTTACTTTTACCCCTAAGACGGGGCACAGTCAGACTGTGAGCCCTGTGCCCAGGGATGCAAGTAGCAATCCCTTGGGCATGCAGAGACTTGGCAGGCAGTGTTCCTACCCCCCACCTCCAGGAAATGCTGCCTCCCACGTCCCCTCCTGGGCCAAAGCGAGGAAGAAGAGCAGCCCACCACTCTAAACACACATGGTACACAACCAGGAAGGAGGCAGTGAAGCAGGGATCAAGCCAACTGGAAGCACTTTTTGCCACCTAATTCCATTGTTTTTCTACAAAACCAAAGTGAAACACCTTGTCATGGTCTGAAAACCAACATATTCCCATTCCTTAGCTTCCACCATGCTCTGCATACAGTTTCACTCATCTTAGTTTCTTGCTAAACTGCTTACAAAGGAATGGCTGCATAATCCTGGTCACATCAACTAAAGATGATGAAGTGCAGACAAATATGAGAAGTAAGTGCAGAGAGATCAGGTTTTACACTATCTTTATCAAATGGGACAGTAATTTTTGATACTTAAAATCCTGTCCGTCTGTTGCCCCTGGTTACTTGACACAAGTAGGTTACAAGTAACATTTGATTTTTCTAAGACACCACTTAAAATCTCCTGGCACCACATATGCCATTAAAAAGGTCTACTCAAGTTGGTAAGATTGTAAAAAAAAAAAGGAGTGGGGTTTTGTTTTCAGACCTGTCATAGCCACATCTATGCAAAAAAATTCAACATGTCACACAACATGCAAGCAAGTTCAGAGTAAAAGCACAAGCATTTCTCTAAATACATGAGAAATGTTTCCTGCAGACCAATCTAACTCTTGAAATTTTCCCCCACCTTTACCAATAAGGACTGTGGGGCCCAAGGAAGATTTACAGTGGGTGTTCAGACACACAGATGGGTGTGGTGAAAACACCTGTATTAACAGACTGCCTAAGTGACTATAGTAAAAATATTTCGATACATACTAATTTATTCAAACTTCATGGAAGTTCTAAGTGATCTAACACAAGTTACTACTTGAAAGCAATAACATCCCTAAGGCTTTTTATTTTCTAAATATAACAGTCAATTTTGGGATTTTTTTACACAGTATTATGACATAAGTACTTCAAAAGCCAGTAAGTGCTTCACACCTGTCATGATCATAATGTCAGCAATGACATTATGCTTTGTTTGGAAGTAATTTTTCTGGATAGTGAGTTTAAATAGAGCTCATTTGATGGAGTCTCTGACCCCCCAAAAACCAAACAAGACTAGAACTGAATTTAAACGGAATCTTTCTAGGAAACAATTTGCATATTATGTATAACTAAGGAGTAGAGATGCTTCAATCTTTATGTCCCATGCTTATAAAAGGAATTTGTGTTCAAGGACTTCTGTGCACAAAACGTTTTATCTCAACAAATTAAGCTCCTTAAGAAGGCACAGCTGAAGTAGCAAAATTTTTGCTCAATTATTTCTGAATCAACATTACTGATAGATGTACAGAGCCTTGAACCTTTTACCTATAAATAAGTACATGAAAATTCCAGTTCTGCTGCTAACTTATCTTTGGGGTGACAAAATAGAGAGGTTCAGGCACGTAAGAATCAAGATAGAAACACAATCAAGCTTGGCATCTCCATACAGGTCTGTCAGAAAGGAAGTTTTATGGTATTTTAAATAACTTTTATGCATACACCATGCAGTTTTATAGTTTATCACACAACTCTAGTTTACTCATTAATTCATTCTTTTTTCACAAGCTTGTTTAGAAAACATAAGATTCCTTTGAGCTGCCAAGATGCTCAAAATCGATCGCAGGTGTAATGACAACTGTAACGTAATGAGAAACTTAACATCATTTCAGAATGTATTTTGTGACATTACAGGTAATAGCGGGATTCCTCTCAGCAGAGTAAGTCACACCAAAGTTTCACAATGATGGGATCGTTCACTACAAACTGACTTCCCAAGACAGAGAGATTGTGTATGTAAAGCACTTTCTTAACGAAACAGAAACAAACACAAACTACTTGAAAAAGCATCCTGTACTATTTCACTAGTTGCATTAGGTGTTACCTCACCATGATGTTAATGACACACATCACAAGCAAAATGTTTCTCCTCTTGCAGCTGACAGAGCTGTGACAGGCCTGGCATATTGGCAATACCGCTAACCTGGAGTTTGCCGGTTCACACTGACGGTACCAGAAGAACTTACGGCCCAAATGACTAATTTTATTTGGTTTTGCGTAATATGCATGGGTTAGCGCAACCTAAAATAATATTTTACGCGGGCTGTTCAGGTGACTGTAGGTGACACTCAGCAGTGCAAACGAAAACCAAAATGTGATTTGAGCTAAAGTGAATGGACTCAAAGATTGTAACAAACCCTTTCTGACTGCAAGGGAAAACACCTCGACTAAGTTGCCAATAAAAATATAACGTTTAAAGTTTATTTGCTTATCTTCACACGAGCAACTGGAATGTTGCACCAAGGGACAGGGTCCAATATGGAATAATCCAATATGGCCACTGATGTGTAGCTGTCTTTTGCCTCAAAATTGTCTTATCTTTTACCATGTCTGTCAGTTGCATGTATACACCTGTTATAACCTTACTTCAAAAGAAGTTGACACAGCGACAGTCATCTGCATGTATCCAACCCTGAAACCTTCTTTATGGCAGAGAAATCCATATGCTATCAGACCACCCTGTCAAGGCCAAACCACAGTCATTCATAACCACCAAGAGACAGACAGGTAGAGAGGTGTGCCAGCACTATCCACTTACCTTCTTTATTAAGCCTCATAACCTCCCTGCTTTTTCCACCCTCCTTTCCAGTCTCTTCCAGATCTACACCTGCAGAAGAGAAGCAGAGTCAGGAAGCGCCGAGGGCCCTAAGGTGTGCATTTATTGTTTGGCGAGGGGAGGAGGAGAGGTGAGGAGGTGAGCAGTGTTTCTATTTGCAACAGCAAAAGCACAATGGTCGGAGCATCTGCCAGGGAGCGGAACCGCCGGGCCCCCCGCGGCAGCACCCTCGCCCCCCCCTCCCCGCCCGCGGCATCCTCCGGCCCCTCCGCGCATCCTCCCCCTCGCCCCCTTCCCCCACCGCGGCGCCGGCCCAGCGCCGCGGGGCAGCGGCACGGCAGGCGCGGCGCGGCGTGCGCCTCCCGCACACATGGCACGGGGGCTCGGCCGAGCGTCAGCTGAGCGCCCGGGGGGGCGGCACCTCCCGGCCCCGGCGGGAGGAGGGAGGGGAGCGGAGGGGGGGCGGCCCGGCCGGACCCCGGCCCCGCTCCGGGGGCAGCGGCGTGCGGAGCCGGACCGCGGCCGGTCCCTGCCCTTACTGTGCGGGGGGGCGGCGCCGTGCGCGTGCGGGGGGGCGGCCTCCCGCACCCAGGCGGCCCAGGGCTGGCCCAGGAACGCCTCGGGACTGGGCACGGGCCGCTCCAGGGCCGCCATGGCGCCGCGCCTGCTCCTGCCTCCTTGTTGCTTTTCCCGTTTCCTTCGGCGGCGGCGGCGGCGAGCGAGCGAGCGAGACACGGGATTCGAGAACGCCGCACGTCATCCTCGGGACGTTCCGCCGCCCACACGGGGGTAGTGTCAGCCCCTGCTCCCTATCAGATCGGGCTCCCCGCCGCACAGCGCGCATGCCCGCGTCCCCCGCGCCTGCGCCCCGCGCCGCCGGCAGCGGGCCCGCGCCCGCCCCGAGGGGCGCCGGACCCGCGCAGCGCCGCGCTGCCCACCGGCACCGGCCCGGCCCGGCCCGGCCGAGCGCAGCGGGCCCGGCCAGCCCTGCCGGGAGGGCGCAGCCGCCGGCCGTGTGCGCCTCGGGGCTGCGCGCCCCGCGTCTCGCAGCGCCCGCAGTAAGTGCCTGGGACGGGCTCTCGGTAGCTGCGGCGCGGCCCCTCCGCGCTCCAGCGCGGCCGCTGCACCCGGAGTGCGGGGCTGGGGCTCCCCTGCTTCCAGCTGCGCTCCTGTGGATCACCTATAGCCACAGCCACAGCCATTTTGTTGTCCAGATACTGCCTGATCTGTAGTAGGCTTCGTCTGCTTGCAAATGGGATTTTTCTCGTTTTGGTGTTCTAGGCTACGGTACAGCAGCTCTGAACTCGCAGGTCCGGCTACTCTCAAACAATACTGAGGTTTTCATCTCGCTCTACATAACCTATGGGACGTAAATGCTTTTCATTTAGGATAGTGTCACTTTTGCTTATTTCGCCACTGAGGTAAGAATAGAAAATAACCGTTAATATTTTTATACTCAGTATACCTGCTCTAGATTAGGAGTTTCAGCATAAGCCTGTTGCTTCAGCTCATACCTCTTAAGCCAAATATAAATGCTCCCACTGAAGCACTTGGTTTCATTTGAGCTGCCTCATATATCCCTCACGTAGTGTCTTTCATACAGTTCTGCAACACCATTAGAGGTGGTGATGACTGAAGTTAAAGGTTCAACAGACGCTTCTCACGTGGTGATGTGAGTTTTGCGTGATCCCATCCTTGTCCTGCATCTTTTCCCAGACACTCGTTCACTTTTTGCTGGTTCAAACCATTGTGAGGCAATACTGAAGCAGAACATGGAATTAATGCGGACTCAAAAAAAACCCAACAAACAAAGCCAAAAAACCCAAACCAAAATCAAACAAACATGAAACCTACCAAAACATTTCAGGCCTGCTCAAAAGCTGGAGCTGTGGCCAGAGGGGCAGGACAGGAGCTGCTGAAGTCAGCACTGCTGCCTGTCATAAAGTATATGGTGCTGCAGTCTAGAATGGATTTAAATTTCCCACAACTTCATTAAGACTAAGCTCTTTACAGTGTCAAAATGGATAAAGATTTGGGGCAAGGGACAGACACTCTTTGCCTTACGTACACTGCCAACACACTCCACCGCTTCCAAAAAGTAGCTGGAATATACAACTCCCATCCCTAATATCCAGAGGTGAGCCTCAACGCTTTCATTCTGTAGGTCTAGTCAGGGTGCCTCCAGTCAAGTAAGCATTAGCTACAAGAAACTTCAGTACCATTATCAAAGAAGCAGAAATTTCACCAAAATACCCTTCAAATAAAACCAGGCAATCACAGCAGGCTTCTTAGCAACCATCATGAAGCAGGCATAGGATGCATGACCTTTCGTAGGCTACATGGGGAATTTCCAGAAGCGGGAAGGGTAGTTGTGATGTAATACAAAGCCCTGGCAAGATATATTTAGGAATATTATGTGCAGTTCTATCCACCATTTTAAATTAATCTTCCTACCAAAAAAAAAAAAAAAAAAAAAAAAGTGTGGACAGGGTTATGAGAAAGATCCGAGGAATTAAGATTCTCCGAGGAATGTGAGGAGAGTTTTACTTAGTCTAACAAAATTCAGCTGGTAGTGAATATGTTTGATGTTTTTAATTATAAGGACACATAATTCCTTCCACATCAATGAGGAAGAAAAAAAGAATAGACATAAATCGCTTATGTTGAGATTGAAAAGTCTGCCCACTATACTGAAAAACTCTTTGGTGAGGAATAGCAAGATGGAATTCTTAGAAGGAATGATAAATGACATGAACTTAAAAATCAACCATGTTTGACACTTGGGTTCAAATTCACTGGAAGATAATTGAGCAAATGTCTCGACAATGGCCAAATAGTCTCATAATTAGAGAATTTAAATGGCACAGCTTATGCCATAACACTGGTGTGATTACCTGAGATGTGGATCTGGAGAGAAGATGCAAAAAAAGGCATGTGATCACCCAGGAAATCCCCATCAATGAAAACCAACATTAGATTTCAGGGAAGTATGGATGGCCAAGCGTCCAGCTACTATTGAACACTACCACAGGATGCAAAACTAGTAAAGCAATTCCTACCTATACAACTGAGAAAAAAAGGGGATGGGTAAAGTATTTAATACAAGCTGTCTCCAACCAAGGAAAAAAAAAAAAAAAAAAAAAAAAGAAGAAACTTTCCAGCTTTAACACATGGCACTGATCTACATGCTGCTTACCATGACACACTACAGATAGTCTAGGTTCTTTAAAGAAACAAAGCATATGAAGGAAAATTAGCATAAAATCAAAGATTCAAGATGTACCAATTCCTTCCTAAATAGAAACAATCCAGTGACTTACAGTTTAAGAGAAAGTTCCAAGGAATTTCTCCTCCTTACCATATGTATTCGAGGACAACATTATCATTAAACAAATGGTTCCACAATCAGGATCATAGGATCATTTAGGTTGCAAAAGACCTTTAAGATTGAGTCCAACCATTAACCCTAATTCCATCACTGAAACATGTTCATAACTGGCACATCTACACATATGCCCATCTTTCCTGTGATCAGCATCTTTTGTTTAAAGAGTGTGAGTTTTGCTTTGATTACATCTATGCTGCCTCTATGATCTGCACCAAGAAATAACACCATCCCTGAGCAAACCAGCCTTTGGTTTGTCTCCATTGTCTGGTAGGGTGCAAGTCCTGAAGCTGCAGAAGAGTATCCTCACTTCTGCACCAGGACTTCTCCCCAAGACCTCCTATTTCACTCCACGTTGGTGTCTATTAAACTGGTTTATGTTCTATGGACAGCTGTGATTATGCTCCATCTTATAGCAAAATAGGAAGAGAGCTGATCTGACATCCTATAAGTTTTTCCATTGTTAAGAATATATGTAGTACTATCTTGTGAATGTGAACTCAAGCTGCAGCTTTACTGTAGACAGACCATGCACATGGTTTCTTCCCTTCTCCTGGCATTTGCTTCCACAAAATTCAAAAATTCATAGAAAGACAAACCTATTTAAGACTTTCATTCTTCTTTCAGATTTGTTTTTATTAATCAGCCAGGCCAAAATTCAGGGGTGAAGAGGGAAAAAAGTGAGGGAAAGTCACAAACATGGTCACAAAATTTATTCCTTAGGAAATCAGTAAAAAAAAAAAAAAAAAAAACCTGCACATGAAAGTGCAGATTAAACAGCCTTTGTTTTTTTTCCACCTGCTCACCAATACAGAAGTTTAATTCTTCTATGACCTTGAACAAGTCACTCTGCCACAGAAAAATAATTAAGTCAGCCAGGAAAGGTCCTTCTCTCCCTTCTTGGTCCCTGAGGATTCTTTAATTTCAGTTGCCAAGCAGAAGCTTCCTTTTTATATGTGATTTTTCAGAATTCAAGGTAATGCAGCCTTGATTTTGGTTGCAGCTTCTAAATACTAGAGTGATCCAATCATAACATGGTATTTAAAAAGTAACTATAAGCAAATTATGGCCTTTAATTAATAAATGGCAAAATACAGATAAAACCTCAACTCTAACCTTTTTAATCCTTATATCATTGGTCTTTTACTAAGATGATCTCCAAATGCAAGCTTTTTTACAAGTAAGCAAAAGATAAAAATCATATGTTCCTATACCTACTTATTCTAATTATGTTTAAAGACTTGGGCTTTATAAAAGCACAGTAAAAGTTATGACATTAGAAGAGATCCAAAGCTGCATATCAATATTTGGCTTATTTAGAGGCCAATCCAATATTTTTATATAATTTTCAGCGTCTGAATGTGAAGACATGACAAACTAAAACAGCAATCCTCACATGTGGCTATCAGGAGCATCATATGTAGTCACCATGTACAAATATGAAATTATATGATTTTACTTCAGCTGTACTGTCATACACTGAGAAAATACCATGAGAGTGCTGAGGGTGCATGTGTAGTCACAACAATAACAAAATCAGGTATACCTGGCAATGCGTGCACCAGATGGCTTTAAACTAGCTACAAAAGTATTATAAAAAAACAGCTGTATAAGGCCTCAATATCATAACAAGATTATAAACATCTGATTGTTGTAACAAAGTCATGATTTAAGCAGTTTGGCAGGAGATTCATAAATACTTCCCAGGATCCTGTTGTGCAATGGATTTACCACAGTAGTGGTTTTGTCTTATATTGCAGAAATTATGACATAGCAGACAGTTTTAAGAACTCAGGTATCTACTGTGGTGGAAAAGGAGCAGTAAATGAATCACAAAATTTTCTTACAGACAGTCAATGATGGAGTTTGCATAAGAAAAGCACCAGCAAAGTAGCTGGCTGTCAGTCCCAGGGGTGCAGAAATTTTAATCCTTCAGCATTTTGAAGAGTTCAAAACTAGCTTTTATGTTTTTGTGGCTATTTCTGTGGTGGACTTCTACACTCATGCTAATTTTAAACCTGTAGATTATCTATTTGCAGTCTCTCTTTCCACAGTGGATAAATGAAGTTTCTGTCTAATGTTACAGCAACACTTCAGGTTACCAGAGAAGTTTGTATTGAGAAGATACAAAATCCACCAAATGGATAGTCCTGCATTTCTCCATTAAAACTGATTCTGAAACTTTTTTTAATACAATGTAACATTCTAGTATTCTATGTGATAATTAGAGTAGCTGGATTCATTAAATAAACTAGATACTTTTAAAAAGTCCTATGTGGTGGTGTGTTTTATATCTAGGTTTCTGCAAAAAGATGTGTACAGGATGCCCATTAAAACAACTCAGGGGTTAGCAAATGTAGAAGCCACAATGAGCCAGTCCCCCTAGAGCCACTCTGGCCAAAAGTGCAGTCTCTGTACTATTTCTGATCTCTTTGTAATTTCAGAAGGTATCTCAAACACTGTGCGAGTACTGCCATAGCAGACTTCAGCTAGAAAACTGTATTAAATAGACATTTATAGCAGAGAAATCTATTTTTAATGTCCTCTGAAATAACACAAGAAAAAAAAATCTGAATTATGCTTTCGGTTCCATCTTAGCCAAAGAAACTAGCACTTTAAAAAGAAACAGAAAAAATGGAGAACTGAAAAAGAAATTCAAAGTGAGATACTCTTGTATCCCAACAAAAACATGTTTCTCAAAAAAGGGTTGCAAATTGCTTCACACGAAACAAAGCAATGCTTGAAACACTACAGCAGCTCTAAACAGATGAAATGGGAAATCTAAAGAGAGGCGAACTGCGCAGGTTTATGAACAAACAATGCTCAATTAGGTAACTTTCTACATTGAGCTCCAGGAAGTTTAAAGAAGAAATTATACCAAAAATAAGTCTATGAACTAGCAATGGAAATCAACAGTTACTGCACAGTTTCATGTTTCAGCCAGGAGCCTCTGAGATTTCTGTTTCTGACCCATGTCAGTTGCCTATATTTTCTCTTCCTTGAAAATATTCCCTGTGTCCTGATCTCCACTAAACATCTGAACACCCACTCTTGGTGCTATAGTATAACCTGTATGAAACATGGATCTCAAACTCCCTTCTTAAAACACATTACCCAGAGTCTCTGGTCTACCACTTCATCAGCTGCTCTTGTGGCAAGAAACTGAGGATTAGATGAGGTCAGAGGAGTGCATTCACTGAAGAAGAGTGACGACTAATGCAAATGTTTTGGAAATTGGAAGACATAAATGACAGGTCAAAGAGTACTTGGCAGGCTAAAATTCAGTTTGCTTCTATTGACAGGTACTCAAGAAAGATCACAGACAAATTGTATTAAAACATTGTCATGGCATGTTTCATACTGCTTCTTAAAATTATTAAACATATCTGGCACTGGTGCAGCAAATCACTTGTGTTATACTTACTAAATATTCATCAGTTTTGCTTGTTGTTTGCTTTGTTGTTGATTTTTTTTTATTTGAAGGAGTTTTTTTGGTAAATAATAGTAACAATAATATTCACAAAGGCCATATCCAGATTTTAGAGGAAGGCTCTTAACTGTCCAGTTGGGACAGAAAGGAAGAAATTTGTAGGAGTTCCCTTCATTTTTGAAAGACAGAGCAAAGTTCTTTAGATTTTAAACTATAAAACCTCTTGAGGGTGGAGAAAGTTACCTTGCCTCAGTATGAAGTCTGTTTTCAAATAGCGTGCTGCTTTCCTGTGCTTTGCTCTTCCACAATGCCCGTGTGAATAACCAAAACCACAAAACATGAGTCCCCAAAGATCTTCACGCATTTCTCGTGAGGTTGGCATAGAAATATTCTTTCATTAAAAATTAAGTTTGCCCTGATGAATAATGTATATGATAACTTTCCATTCACCCACCCCATTTGTGTGTGTTGGCAGCACACAACAGCAGCTTCCTGCCTTTCCCTCATTGCATTGTAGCCAATTTTCTCCTGTTCCTTCTCAACACAGATGCCATATTTGTCCTGTATCCTTCCTTCTCCCAAATGCTTCCCTTTTCTGAATTATGTTCCTGCTTTTCTGTCACATTACCCTAACCCTGCATGGTATGTTTTTGTCTCCTGCCAGGTTACTGCACTGAAACACCAGTTTGGGGCCTGTTGTTGACTCTCGCCACCCTCCCAGTTGGGCCCAGCTGCCCCACCAGAGGCAACCATGTCTTTTAATATACATTACCTTGATTTTATCCCCTACTCTGCAGTTAGGAGACTTTCCTCTCCTTTCCCATGTCTCCCTCAGTGGAGGACACGTCTCTCCCAGTCCTGAGTCATCTCTCCTCCTCCCACCAGTGAGCTGCCTCTTCCATCACAAAGCTGTTTGGAGTTGCCCTCTTTTCCTCTCTAAACAATTCCTCCTGTCTTGGGGCATGTCCCCTTTCCTTCTCCCCTCCTCTCAGCAGCCAGCTCTCCTCTGCCTCTCCCTGGGAAGCCAGCAGTCCTTACCAGCCTTCCCCTGGCTCTGACTGGAGCCCCTTGGCCTCAGTCCAGGGATCTGCCTCCCCTCCCATCATGTTCCACAAGTGCTGGTGCCCTGTCTGTCCCCATCTCTCAGCAGCTCACTGATCCCCCCTGTAAACAGGGACTCACCTCTGGCAGGGCCAGGCACCATGTGTGAGTGGGCTGAGGGGAGGCACCCACAGACTGCCAGAAGATTTCAGCCTGAGAGGGATGCCCCTCAGTGTTTGAGAGTCACTCAAATGTCCTTCAGCCTGGCTGTGAAAGTTTGGGGCCAGCCAGAAAAGAGGTTTGAGTGAGAGTCACACTGCTGCACCTTCAGTAAGGTCCACATTTGGTCCTTGGATCAGAGGAGAGTAGAGAGGGCCCAGCCTACTCACATGGCTCCCCAAGTCCTCTCTGCTTCCAGAAGCTGGCTCCAATCACACCTTGCTGGAGGTTCTGAAATGTTTTGACAGTTGTTATGGTATGTCCTACTTCCAGCTCGTACAGGAAGCAGACGTGTTGAAATCACAGAAGAAAGCAAGCCTGTTCATCTTGTATTTCTGGCTGAGGCTGGAAGTGGAGTGCCAGAAATCAATTGTGTCTCATCTATTATAGAGGAAATTCTCTTGTAGCTCTTTGCATCGTTGTGCTAACTTTGCAAGGGGATTTGTCCTAATAAGATTCCTATTACAACCAGGAAGAGTCAAATGTAGTGTCTTCTGATAAGCGCTGCAAGTTCTGTACGCAGTCAAAATGGATCTCGAAGGCTTTAGCAGAATTGGAGTGTAGTCAGTGATGTGTTTGACAATGAAATGCACCCAAAGTAAAAACTATGTGTGATGTTTAAGCATTGACTTACATGTATAAACCTCTCGTGGGCCACCCTGAACTTCTGTCATCAGACTTCACATGACCTTTTACAAAGGCAATGTGGTTGCAGAGACCTGATGTGGATGGACCTCAGTTACAGTCTCACAGATTGAGTGAATTTTTAAATTAAATCCTCCCCTTAATGATAAAAATACATTGTCCTTTGCTATTTTTTGGAAACTTGTGGTTTGACTAGTGTTCCCGAGGCACTATTTCCTTTAAGGAATCCAGGTATAAGCATACTACTAATAATACTTGGCGTTTAGATGGAAACCATAGCTGGTAAAGAAAAAAGTTCAGACATCATTAAAAATATTCCAGGTTACTTATGAAGGGTGCATATTCTGAAATGCCTGTGAGTTAAGACTGCAACTTTGCAGGCTCAGATTATGAGAATCTTTGTACATCTATGGCCATCAAACATTTTAACTGGATAATAACATCCAGTGGTACAGATCTGTGCATTTAATCAAATCTTATTTTGTAGATACTCAGCATGTGACATGTGATATATGCAAAAGTTACGAGGCTGATGAAAAGCGAACAACAGTGGTTTAGGGAAAAATTAACTAAAAGTCACTACAAAATTAGTATTTGCGAATCTTGTAATTCAAGTTCAGATACCCATTTTATCCAGGATTAACAGAACTGGCTGTTGTTTCCCAAATCTTTTAATTGACAGATAAAAATGTACTTTTTCTTTAGGAGACAGCAGCATCTGTGGATTCCCCATCTGTGTTTAATTCTGCCAAATAATATATAACAATAATAATAGATGATTTGAAAATACTCAAATCCAAACCATTAACTAAGCACAAACTCCTCTTCCTCCCCTGAAAAATTGAAATCTTTTTCTGCATACAGTAAATCCAAGTTCTTAAAATTTTACTTGCATTCATGTTGACATTCAAGGATTCCGTACTAATCCGATAATACAATGGCTGGTTTTCCTTCTGTACTAAGAAGAGTATTGGCACTGCAGCTACTGGTAACTTCAAAATATTACAGTTGTGGTCTGTGGTACAGGAAAGCTGGCAAAATGAGAATGTTTTATGTATAGTGGGCTGAAAAATTTTGCAGCAGATTATTTGTCTAAGCATATATTGACTGTCAGTTCTCTATAAAAAGAGGTTTCTACTTTTCTGTTTACAGAAGTGGAACCCTTTTTCTGTGCCCTCACACATCATCATAATTAGCACAATTAATACAAGTCACTGAAATCTATTAGTAGCATAAGCTGTGGCATTTTATTGAATTACACGTTCATGTCACAGTAGAGTTGGGCACTTCTGAATATTTCTGAAGTTGTTTGTAACCAATGGAGCAAAACTTATGGCATGATCTTATAAAAAATACAGTGTTAGAGGTTGTATGGAAACAGTGAGTTTTAGTGGTGACAAGACTTAACAACTTGAGTGCCTTTATAAACACAATATATAATAGCAGTACAATAGAAATTGAAATTGAGAGATGAGTCTACATTTGAGGGGTTAGAATTGGTCTTGTGTGGAGAACTTAAGAGGTGCATAGAGCCATGAACCTGTGTCTTGTGGATTAGTAGAGGGAAAACTTGAAGGACATCTCTGGGTTCTGAAAGTGCTCATATGTGGGTGAATTCCTCCATTTATTCAGGGCTTTATGGTTTTGCCTATGGAAATTTTTACGTCAGCTGACAAAACCCCCTCAGTCTGTCTTTGTCAATCTGAATCTTAATGTAGCCAACTGTTCTGTTCTGTTCTCACACTACATTTGTGGTGTAAGAGTCTAAGAGCATGCTGTGTCAGCTATGGGATTATTGGTCCTAGATTTTGCAAAATTTCCCATACACATTTTTGAAACAACAGCAGATAATTATGAGAATTGGCAAATGCCACAGACATAATTGTTTTCAGCAGCTACAATAGATGTTTTAAAAACATTTCCATATT